ACCTTTACTCTTACTTTTAATGCATGGCTTACTCTCACTTTCCTTGCTTAGCTTCCTGAGAAAGCATAGGAAACTGCAGATTCCAAAACAAAACCAAACGGAATGGAACCCGGAATAGCCACAGCGGAGAAGAACGGAGCAGGGGAAGTGGTGCTGGAGATGTCCAAACTAGAAGAAGCTTTTGTGAGTAATAAGGAAGGTGAAAATCCCAATGCTCTTTCTTCAGTGCCTAAATCCTCTTTTTCAATGAATTTCATAGTGGGATCTTCTCCAAAGAATCTTGAGTTAGCAGCACAGCAAGAGAATCTCAGATACAGAGGCCAAGTCCCTACTCTTGAAAGCTCTTCTTCTACTAAAGAGATTGCTAGTCCAAAACCAGAGAAGCCTCCTCCATCCCAAAAAAAGTCCCTTGCAAAGTCTTCCTTTTCAAAACCGAAATCCAGACTGAAAGAGCCGAATTCAAGGTCATCAGGAAGTAGCAAATACAGCACGGAGAACTCAAAATCAGGGGAGGAGGATGAAGATGATGAAGAGAACCCTGAGATCGAGGCAAGTAAAAAATCAGGTAAGTGGACATTTTGGGTAATAATTGAGTGGATTGTATTTGTTTGCACCGTGGGGTGTCTAATTGCAAGTTTAACCTTAAAAAAGTTGGAAAGCGTTGTAATTTGGGGTTTGCATTTATGGAAATGCTGTGTTCTGGTATTGGTTATTTTTTGTGGTAGACTCTATACCAGATGGATGATGATTACTTTACTTTTCTTAATTAGAAGGAAGTGGTTGCTCAATGAGAAAGTTCTGTATTTTGTTTATGGAGTTAGGATAAGTGTTCGGTTTTTTGCGTGGTTGTGTTTGGTACTGTTAGCTTGGATTTTTCTAGTAGATCGTGGAGTTCAAAGAACAGGGGAAACCATGGTAGTTCTGCATCACATTAAAAGGGCTCTTGCTTCATCTCTTGTTGGGGCAGCTATTTGGCTGCTGAAAACACTTTTTGTGAAGGTAATTGCGGCCAATTTCCAAGGTAAAAGGTTCTTTGATAGGATTAAGGAGGCAATCTTTCATCAACATGTTCTCGAGGTTCTCTCACTACCAGAGTCTGCCTCTAGAGCTAAGAGTACTAGTACAAGCATTGCTTCTATGACTCGACGTAAATCAGAGAAGGTGATTACATGGCTAAAAAATATGAAGAAGGAGAAAGCCTCTGCTTGGACCATGAAAGGGTTCATTGATGTCATAAGCGGTTCAAAGTTGTCTTTTGCTGAGGATGAGGATAATGATCATAAGCAGAAAGATAAGAAAATAACAAGTGAACTGAAAGTAAAGCAAGCTGCTAACAAGCTTTTTAAGAAATTGGCGAAAAGTGATCGCAAGTAAGTATATGTCTATAGTTTGAGTCATATAATTCTATTATTTGATTATATAATTAGTTTTGGCATTGTCTCTCTATTTTGTGTTCATTTGATTAGGTGCATCCAAAAGAAGGACCTCTTGTCTTACTTTGATGAGAAGGAACTTGATGAGGATGTACTTCCACTATTTAAACGATCACCAGAAACGGAAGAGATCAAGAAAAAAGCATTAAAAGACTGGATGGTAAGTTTTCTAGCATAATTGCCTTGATTGTCTACTAGGAGTTCTTTAAGGTCTTTCTTGTTTGCAGTTGGAGGTTTACCGTGAACGCAAATCACTGGTATGTTCCTTAAAGGATTCCAAGACAGCGATAGAAGAGCTCAACAGGCTTGCTTCTGGGGTGGTTCTTATTGTGATCATCATTGTCTGGTTACTCCTAATGGGATTTTTAACGACCAAAGTCCTCCTCTTCATTTCATCTCAGCTGCTGCTTGCAGCGTTCATGTTTGGTAAAACTCTCAGGACTGTATTTGAAGCCATCATATTTGTATTTGTGGTGCACCCTTTTGATGTCAGTGACCGCTGCATCATCGATGGAGCACAGGTGAATCGACAAATCCTAAAACTTAGATATTTTCTACATAGCGTGTGAAGATCAACTAGCATGATGTATTAATCCTTACAGATGATCGTTGAAGAGGTGAATCTTTTATCAACAGTGTTTTTGAAATTTGACAATGAGAAAGTATACTACCCAAATTCAGTTTTGGCTACAAAACCAATTGGCAATTTTTATAGGAGTCCTGAGATGGGTGATTCTGTGGAGTTTGCTATCGATGTTTCCACTTCAGTTGAGCAAATTAAAGCTCTGAAAGTGAAAATTAAAGAGTATGCAAACTCTTACTTTTCCTCTCCTATGTTGCTTATGTGAGAAATTAATGTTCTACGCTATGATGATTGATTATTTATCTCAATCAGTACAGAAATAACTTTACCCCTTGAATTTCAGGTACCTAGAGAACAATCCTGCGACTTGGCATTCTGAGCACAGCGTTGTTGTTAAGGACTTTGATGATGTGAACAAGATAAAAATGGTTCTTTTTGTTAAGCACACCATAAACTTTCAGAACTATGCAGACAAGAGCAATCGGAGATCTGATCTAATCTTAGAGTTGAAGACAATGTTGGAGGATCTTCATATTAAATACCATATGCTGCCTTTACAAGCTCATCTCATTGGATCACACTTCCCACCTACCACTCGTTGAGCTGCCCTGCTGATCAGGTTGCTCAGTGACATTGATATCTAAGGGAAGGCAAAAATGTGTGAGATATGCCATATTGCCATTGCTAGTCAAGATAACTGGGAAAAAGCACAATTCTGATTTTTGTGGCTTTTGGTAAATGCATGTACCTAGAACTTAATGGGCGCGCTTCATTAATTGGTCTAGCCTATTGCATTTCTGAATTTTAACAAAACTGAAAAATGTAGTAGCTGGTGAAATTCCTGAAACTCTTAGCATTGTCTCTTTTATTATTGGTAAATGCATGTACCTAGAACTTAATGCGCGCTCTTCCTTAATTGGTCTAGTCTATTGCATTTCTGAATTTTAACAAAACTGAAAAGTGTAGTGGCCGGTGAAATTCCTGAAACTCTTAGCGTTGTCTCTTTTATTATTATTAGTATTATTATTATTGTTATTTTCTTTTTCTGGATGAGCCATGAAAACAAGCAGCAATGCAATTTCAAGTGATTATAGAAGATCACGACGAAGTGGACCATAAAGCTACATATTACCTCTAGCCATCACGTAGAAATTAAAGATAAAAA